GGTTTTCAGAAATGAATGCAGATGCAGGTGTGACCTAAGTTCCCCTCGTGGAGTTGTCTACCGCACCCAAAAACATAAATTTTGTTATCGTACAACTTTTATTATATTTTTAAATATTTTTATGACTATTATAATACTAAAAAAATAATAAAAATAATAGTCATAAAAATATTCACAAAAATTATATTTTTTTTGTATCAAAGAAAAATAATAAAAATGATTATCACAATAATAATAAAAATATTTACAACAGTGATAAAAATATCTACAAAAAAAATTACCCACAAAAAATAATAAATTTTTTTATTATAAAATAATCCATAAAAATTATAAAAATATCTATTAAAATAATAAATGTTAAAAATATGGTACCAAACTTTTTTTTATGTATAAGGAAATCAAATCCCTCTAATATCCTGTGACTCCCCCTTCAAGCTGCCCAAAAAGTAGTCTGGCATACTGGCAAACCTTGATCTTGGATCAAACCATAGAAAGGGTACGACAAAGCATCAAAAGAGATTCAGTACTGAATTAGAATTAGTCATTGAAATCAAATTATGGCAAAACAAAAAAAAAAGGTGTAATTATTCTAAAAACATTAGAGTGGATCTCAAACAAGTCTACTTCGTGGAGCATCACCATATTCAATCATAACCTCTAACTTTTATTTTCTAATATTTGTTACAAAAAGTAAATAAGAATTCGATTCAAAAGAAGAATAATTAGATTGTATGAAAGTGTTTTTGAAATTATAATAAGGTTGTGAGTCTATGGTGCCGTTGGAGATTTTATACCGAAAATTGGGGCCGTAATTTTTTCTTGGAATTGTAACCAACAAAAAATAGAGATATTCAGGCCAACACCTACCAAAATTGCTTGTAATATCCTGCCCATGTAATGATTTAGGCTGTGGCTTATGAGGCTTTAGATACCCTAAGATTTGCATGAAATTGCTTCACGAATAATTAATGTTGTAGATTCGTACAAACTAAAAATTAGAGGAAACTAAGATTGACAATTTTTAATATCACTATCATCGTGAACAAGGTAAAAAATTATTGAATATCGACATAGCTTCTGATGGGTCAGGTCTAAATTAGATTGATTAGTTAGATCCATTAACAAATAAATCGACGTGAATTTTAAAAATATTTGACTTATGCACAATATGAACTCACTATATATATATATACACACACACACACACGTGTCTGAAGGCACGATAGAACATAAAAATTGAGTGTCTGAAAAATTGATTTCACTTTATTAAATATAAAAAAAAATTCATTCATTTCTTTAATTATATTATTTAAAGTTTATTTTTACCCATTATTTTTTTTTAAATATCGATAAAATTTTCTCAAATATGTAATTTGATAAAAAAATTTTAACATATGTATGAACAACATCTAAAATAAAAACTATGTTAAACTATACATTATAGTTGACATGAAGTAAAAATGAGTAATGTGTTTTTTTTTTTTGGGGGGGGGGGGGGTGAGGGCAAAATATATAGTATATATGCTTGTTTTTTTTTTTTATTATTATATGATTATGCATAGTTTTAGTATAGATGAAAAAAATTGGTATGAAATATTATACTATAATCCTAATATAATATGACTCATTATCAACCAAAAATGTAACAATGATGGTGGTCATTCTCATTAGAAGGAAAATATGGGATTGAACCAACATCTTTAGAAGACAAACCCCAATGATTCAAAACATACGAATGAATTCCGAAGATCACGATTCCAAAGAGAAAGAAGAAGAATAAAAAAAAAGTACATATTTTTATGACATTCCGATAAAGTTTGATTGATAAGACTACCTTATAAAAAAATAAGTTTATGTAATATAGGGAAAAAATAATTGATTGTTGTAGATTTTTGTTTGATTTATTTGTAATAATTACTTATGAAAATAATAAATTAAAATAAATAAAATACACAATATAAAAAATGCATATGGTCACTAAACACAAAAAAAAAAGTATGGCACTACATCGTTGTCGGATCCAACGAGATCGATACACTTGCTTCATTTGTACTTTGGTATGTAAGAGACCGTTATTAAACTACCCTAATATAGGCTTAAGGCGATAAGGGACCGAGGAGGAATACATGCACATCAAATAAATACATAATTTTTTATTTTGTTTTTTTGGGGGGAGGGTTCGCTTGGTATCGAAAAATATTTTTTTCACACCGTACTTCCATTTTTTGACCAATAGATAAATGTCACGTATCCCATTTTTTATTTTATAATTTTGGCTTAATTGTATTAGAGGTTCTCAAAGTATAAGATTTATTCTATTTGGTTTCTAATATTTTAATTATATCATTTTAATCCTTAAAGTATTAAATATGTTTCTATATGGTCCTTCAAGCAAACAGTATTTAGATTGCTAATAATTTTTTTATCATAAACTTGTCACGTGATTCCTAAATATGAAAAAAATAATAATTTGAATAACTCGTGACTAAATTTTGATCAAAAAATTACTCAAATAACGCAGTTTTAATCATAAGTTATCTAAATTTTAGTCAAAAACTATTCATATTACACATTTTTTTGTCAAGAGTTACTCAAATTTTGGTTAAGAACTATTCAACTTATTTTTTATCTATATTTTGGTATCACATGATAAGTTTATAATAAAAAATGATTACAATTTAGACGTTGTCTGTTTGAGGGACCACGTAAAAACATATTCAATATTTCAGGTATTAAAATTATACAATTGAAATATTAAATACCAAAATAAAATAAAATTTATATTTTAAAGACCTCAAATATAATTAATCCTATAATTTTTAACTATTTTATTATTTTTTAAATTAATAATTACATATCACTCCATTCAAAAATCGACCGATACAGCCACAGCTGGTTATTAAGGTCGCAAGTGTCACTGAGTGGTCAAAATCAATGCACGTAAGGTAGGCAAAATCGAGGCTTCAAGGACACAAAAGGCTTAACCATGATAAAAGTACGGGAAAAGAGCTCTTACTACTTTTATTACTGGCTCTGTCCTTATTTACCTTTTTTTTTTTGCTTATATGAGCCAAATCTGTCAGAACAATAGTTCTCAATTAACCCTCATCAATGCACTAATGCTACTTTTGTCACCAAAATGTTTCTCACTGTACCACTTCATTTGTTGAAGGGAATTTAGGGCAGAAATTTGGTGAGAAATAATTTATAAATAACTTTATTTATTAGTATTTCGAAACTCATAGAGGAATTAAAATTCAAATTTACTAGAATACAACTTCTTCAATACAAATATGATGTAATATTAATCTAAAAATGATACGTAAACTACTTATTATTTATTTACACGTATCTTTTACTTGGTAATATAGGTAATACAAAGTCGGTTTGAAAACACCATCTCTGTTACTGCTAGTTAATTCTTTTGATGCTAGACTAATTGTGTGTATTGATATGAAATCTTATTTTAATATTATAGGCCCATAAATACAAGTGAATGATCAAATCAATACTAAAATAGAAGTGAATCTATCAATTTGGAGGTTTATAGAACTCGCATGTCAACTATTACAAATGCAGAGTATGAAATATTTTTACCCCTGCGCCTTTTATGGTTATGGACTTGCAGTTTACTAAATCAAACACCATCATTAACCATGGGATTTCTTCGTACCAAAAAGCCTATTAGTTCTATGCCATCAATGAAACCACCCCTCCCCCTCCCCCTCTTTCTGCAAGTTTCTCATCCCTAGCAAAAAATCAGTCATAAAATTTTCCAGTTTTTTCATGACGGTGTAGGCTTCTTCTGCTTCGCTCTAATAACAATGGATTTAGAGTTAGGTGGTGCCTTTTAAAAATTCTTTAAAGTTATGTAATTTTTACTTAGTAACTCTTACAATCACACAAAATTTGTTCTTGTAAACTAGTTTTTCCAATTTAACAATTACCCTTTTCACACCCAACACATGAATACGAAAAAAAGTTTGCCACTTATATCTAATTTCTTGATTTGTCTCTCTCCAAATACGTTGACAGATCAAGATTCTAGTTACAATTTTTTTCCAATGATCAATAGTGATTAAACCAATTTGCACGCATCACAATTAATCTTCTCTACAATTTCATCAAAGGTAGGCTATGCTATTACACCATCATTGAATAAACGTTCCTCAGTATAAATCTTGATTCAAACATCAGTTTTGACTCCATAATTGCACTGGACATGATTAAACAACATACCTTTATTTTTTGCATGAATTAATCATTACTTGAAAGATGCCCCACAGTGGCTTATTTTCCACTTCGAATTAATCACTGCTACAAAAAATTATTGGATTCTCCATAGTGAAAAGAAAGGAAAGAGAAATGCACTCCAATAAACAAACACCCCCATGGTCCCCTCTTGTTCCCAAAAGCAAACTAATAATATTCTAATATCAACTAAGCATTCGACTACAAGAGGTTTTTTTCTTTCCTTTTTTGGTTCAAACATCAAAGGAGTTTGAACTAATTTATGCGTATTTTAATTAATCTTATTTTTGATTAAGTTAAAAACAAATTATTTACACTGAAATTAAGATATTCACGAGGGATAAAATCTCTCGTGATCTGATTTCAAAGAAATGTTTGAATTTATAATTTATTTTTATTATTAATTGACCGAATTTATTATAAATACCGGTGAATTTATAATTCAATTTGGTAAAGCTGCAATATAATGAGCTGTTTGGGATTAATTTAAGAACGTTATTGAAACATTTGAGGATCTTGACTTCGTGAATAATAAGTTCATCAAAAAATTATAATAAGAACATACTTACTGTTTACTCCTCTGCTATGTAGTCAAATCGATCAACCAATCACTGTACGTCATTCCCACATTTTCTGCAACCTTTCTCTAATTCCCATGCACCATTATCTCAATCAAAAAACCATACATATACATATACATATCATATCATAAACCGACACAGTTATCTTCCAGTGGGTTGTTTACAATTGCCTCTCTCTCTCTCTCTCGCTCTCTCTCTGTATGCACTAGTCTACAAGTTCCAATGGAGATACGCCACCACTCCTACTTCAACCTTCTTATCATTTCTGTGATGTTTATCCCAGCATTTTCCGCCATTGATCCCTTCTCAGAGGCACTACTAAGCTTAAAATCAGAACTCATAGATGATTCCAATAGTCTCAGAGATTGGTTTCTACCATCTGGAGAGATACAAAATGAAAAGATCACTGCCTGTTCTTGGTCTGGTGTGTCCTGCAACAAAAACTCTACTTGGATTATTGGCTTAGACCTGTCTATGAAGAGTCTTGGTGGTGCTATATCTGGAAAGCAATTCAATCTCTTTGTTGATCTCATTGATCTCAACCTCAGTTACAACTCATTCTCTGAGAAACTCCCAGTGGGTATTTTCAATCTCACCAATCTAAAAGTCTTAGATATCAGCAGGAACAATTTTTCTGACCTATTCCCTAATGGGGTCTCCAATCTTCAACATTTAGTTGTTCTTGATGCCTTCAGTAACAGCTTTTCAGGGGCCTTGCCGACCGATGTTTCGCTGATTGAATCACTCAAAGTACTCAACTTTGCTGGGAGTTACTTCACTGGACCAATCCCATCAGAATTTGGTTCATTCAAAAGCCTTGAATTTATCCATTTGGCTGGGAATTTTCTAAGTGGTACTATACCACCAGAACTTGGGAAGCTAAAAACAGTGACTCATATGGAGATTGGATACAATTCCTATGAGGGAAACATTCCATGGCAATTGGGTAACATGAGTGAGCTTCAGTACCTTGATATTGCTGGTGCAAATCTCTCTGGTTCAATCCCAAAACAACTCAGCAATCTCACTAAACTTGACTCACTTTTCCTCTTCAGAAACCAGCTAAATGGGGCAATTCCATTTGAATTAACCCAAATTACTACTCTCAGAAGCTTGGATCTTTCTGATAATTTACTCTCTGGGTCTATTCCTGAGAGCTTTGCAGAGCTGAAGAATCTGAGACTGCTCAGCCTTATGTACAATGACATGAGTGGCACTGTTCCTGAAGGTATTGCAAAACTTCCACAACTTGATACTCTTCTTATATGGAACAATTTCTTTTCTGGGTCGCTCCCAGAAAATTTGGGGAGGTTCTCAAAACTCAAATATTTGGATGTTTCAACAAACAGTTTCAATGGTAGCATTCCACCAGATATATGTGCAGGAGGAGTGTTGTTCAAATTAATCCTGTTTTCAAATAATTTTTCGGCTGGCCTGTCTCCGGCTCTCTCCAATTGTTCCTCTCTAGTTCGTCTCCGAATCGAAGATAATTCATTCTCAGGTGATATCTCAATGAATTTCAGTAATCTTCCTGATATTGCCTATGTAGACCTCTCTAGAAACAGGTTTACTGGTGGAATTCCTGCTGATATATCCCAAGCTTCCAAGCTTCAGTACTTTAATGTGTCCAATAATCCAAATTTTGGTGGCATAGTCCCAGAAAATACTTGGTCTCTGCCACTTCTTCAAAACTTTTCCGGGTCATCCTGTAATATTTCAGGTCATATTCCTTTGTTCCAGGGTTGTAAGTCCGTATATGTAATTGAATTGAGCATGAACAGTTTATCAGGAACTGTCCCTGAAAGTGTATCCAATTGTCAGGGTCTTGTAAGAATGGACTTGGCTAACAATAACTTAACAGGTCATATACCTGTGGAGCTTGCTAGCCTTCCAGCTATTAGTGTCCTAGACCTATCACATAACAGTTTAAGTGGTCCAATAGCGATAAAATTTGGAAATTCCTCAAGTTTAAAACTTCTGAATGTATCGTTCAACAACATCTCGGGTCCAATTCCATCAGAAAAGATTTTTAGAACGATGGACAGAAGTGCATTTGTTGGAAATCCAAAGCTCTGTGGAGCACCACTTCATCCTTGTTCAAATGGGAAGGGAATTGAAAATGGACTGGATTTAGGAAGCAAAAGGACACAGAAGCTTGCGTGGATTCTCATACTCTCTGCAGTTGTGGTTATATTAATCACAGTTTCAGTTTTTGGGATATTTTACTTCCATAAAGGAAGTCAAGGCCACTGGAAAATGGTTTCTTTTATTGGACTTCCTCAATTCACAGCCAATGATGTTTTGAGAAGCTTCAATTCTGTAGAAGCCGTGGAGGCGGTGGTGGTGCCACCACTGTCTGGTTCAGTTTGCAAAGCAGTTCTGCCCACAGGAATAACAGTCTCGGTGAAGAAGATCGAGTGGGAGCCCAAGAGAATGAACATTATGTCAGAATATATTAACCGTATGGGAAATGCAAGGCACAAGAATTTGATAAGATTGCTTGGATTTTGCTACAATAGGCATATGGCTTATCTCTTGTATGATTACTTGCCTAATGGAAATTTGGCTGAGAAGATCACAATGAAGAGAGATTGGGCAGCCAAGTATAAAATTGTGATGGGGATTGCAAAGGGACTGTGCTTCCTTCATCATGATTGTTATCCTGCAATTCCCCATGGAAATTTGAAGGCTAGTAATGTATTGTTTGACGAAAATATGGAACCCCATTTGGCTGAGTATGGGTTTGAGCTATTGGCTCGATTGAATCACAGTCCATCGCAGGCAACGCTCTCCAGGATGGAAACAGGTACCCTATTAAACTCCTATTCAGACAATGTAGAGCTACATTCATTAATATCTTTGACGCATTCCATATGGTGGGGTAAGTAATTATGAGGTAAAGCATGAAATCTTGTATGAATTGATTTCCATCCAGAGTCTGATTGAATCCATTTTAAGAGACCATGCTACGTCTTATATAAAGACTGGTGAATCCAACTTCCTGTCAATTTTGCTGTTGTACATATTGTTCTATGGATTGTCAAAAATAGTAACTTGCCCAGTAACCAACAAACAGGTAAGAACCTTCATGGAAAGTTCCTATGTAGTCATATTTTAGAGAATGTTTTGGAGCTTTTGATTAATGGATTACCATTCAAGGAAGTTGGGACTTGTATGAATAAAAGTAGACCCTCAAGGTTTATATCTTTTATGAATCCATATTTTAAGAGAACGTTTTGGAGCTTTTGATTAGTGGATTACCATTCAATAAGGAAGTTGGTACTTTCTATGAATAAAAGTTGACCCTCAAGGTTAATATCTTTTATGAATCTATTCTTAATCACCTCCAAGAATAGAAAGTACTTGAATTGTTTCCTAAGAAAGCACAAGGTGAATCATTGCTTTGCCATGAAAGATGCTTCTACATATATGATGGTAAGGGTACATTTACCTTGCTTTCTGTAAGACTCGGACTGACGGGAGTCTCGTACACTATGTTGCTCCTATATATTTTACTCGTAAGCAGGGAGTTCCTAACTTTTTTCCGGTTTAATTGTTGGACAGGTGAGCTCAACAGCATCACAAAAGATGACCTTTACGAGGACATATACAACTTTGGGGAGATCATTCTGGAAATCTTGACAAATGGTAGACTGAAAAATGGAGTAAGAAACCTACAGAGCACACCAAAGGAAGCTCTTTTAAGAGAGATTTATGAAGAGAATGAAGTTGGCACCTCTAACTCATTCCAAGAGGATCTAAAATTGGTTCTTGAAGTTGGTTTGCTCTGCACCAGAAGTAGGCCATCGGATAGGCCATCCATGGAAGATGCACTGAAGTTTCTATCTGGGTTGAAGCCCCCAAAAAAATAACAAGGCTGCATTAAACTGTTAAATGACTATGAACAGATATATGTAGTTTAGCTGATAAGGTTTGATGTTTTATATTTGTTTTGTTTGATATATTGAGAACAAATGGAATGTTTTGTTGTAAACTAGAGGCATATATGTTTGTGTATCTGTAAATCTTCAGCATATAATTTGAGCAGTGGTTCATTCTGATCTAGCACAGTAAAAATTGTGCCATTGCAATCAAATGTTAGTTAGATCCACTTTCATCATCTATACTGGCTTCCTGGTGATTGCCAAAAATCCTAGATATATTGTTTCATGAAATCAGAACATTACGTCGTAATTTATCTCAGAGAGCAACCTTAAGTTCATTAGAGATCTTCATATATAGATCCCTTGATCTGAAAACAAAAGCATTAAACTTAATATGACAGCCAGAGTGAGACAAATGCTCGGGAAGTCTGAAACTGTGGTTGTGCAGATTAGCAATAATATGGCTTCCAATGTAAATCGGATTCAAATATTGTTGCAGCATCTAATGTTTGATGCATGAAATCGAAAAAACAAAATCAAAAGGAAGCTCAAAAGGAAGGACATACTAATGTGTCAAAACACATTGAGTGAGACAAATGCTCGGGAAATCTGAAACTGTGGCTGCGGGGATTAGCAATAATATAGCTTCCAGTGTAAATCGGATTCAAATATTGATGCAGCATCTAATGTTTGATGCATGAAATCAAAATCAAAAGGAAGCTCAAAAGGAAGGACATACTGATGCGAAAATAATGTTGCAATTAAGCCACTGTGAGAAAACAAACTGGATCCTCCAATCTATTCAACAATCTGAATAGACAAACAACTGGTTTCTGGTATTGAGAACGATGAAATGGAAAAAAAAAATAAAGAACTATATCATCATCCATGAAACAGTGGCATGTCAGATCTAATAAACACTGGAGCTGATTAGTTTTTGAAAGGGATTTGAGCAGTGAGATTCGATATTTAGGATCAGCTCATGGCAAGACAATGAATTGTGATTATCTTAACAAAATTAGCTTTTAAGTACATAAATGAAAAATATATTAACAATAAAGAACAGAAATAGTCACACTATTGCAGGATGTTTACATATAAAGCCGAATTGGCTTGGAAATCATTGAACCACCATTTAAGCAGCTATGTTGAAATATCAGAATCAGGGCTACCTTATATAGATGTTCACTTCATTCAACACTCAACTAAAGGCCACAAAGTGACACAAAATCAGTTCATGTAAATGGAATTTTCAATACCATGTTATCAAAATGATACAAGCTTTCTGGGAACTAGCCAGCCTTAAAGAAACAAAATCCTTTGCCTTTGGGAATGTGCAGAGTGAATACATATATCTGTCTAGCAATCGAGAATTTTTCTTCTCAACCACCTTTAGAAACTCCGGCATTCATGGTTAAAATGAAGCATGATGTGCATAGTTATGGAATCAAAATCCAATGGATTCTTTTGAAACCCCACGTTATCTGATTACATGAACCTGTTGCCCCTTTGCAACTTTCAAACCTCATCAGATTTCTTGAGAGAGACTTCCTATGTGGTTCCATTTGCTTCCAGTCTTGACCTTTCAATCACTAATACCAAGTAACAGTGTTAGGCAGTGAATGCAATCCACTCTGCTGCAGAAGTCACAATGAGTTTGTTTAGTGGTCGAATAAGTAGCAAGACGTAAATCCACATGTGCTCGTCCCAGGTTTGTCCCCAGCCATACAAAACCGGGAATAATCAATGTTCATGGTTCCCTGGTGAGCATGCACATTTATATTATAGTCATGAATTTAAAGGACGCATGCTTAGAATTATTACCCGTTACCGAAAAAAAATCCATTCTGCAGCAGACAACTCCCCTTTCAGAATAAAATTTTCTCCTAGAACTTGATGCAATGAAACTTCCATAAAGAAGTCATGTTTTCTAATTTCTAACCTTCGTTTTGCTCTATAAATTGTTCCTGTGTTTAAAACATTCCCATTTTCATGATCCTTTTGTGTTAAAGTTGACAGTGAAATGCATTATCGCCTTAGAGCATTTACAACTTTACATAAATCACAAATGTTGTGCACGAGAACCACAAAAAAAAAAATAGTAAAATGAAATAAAGGAAACATACAACAAAGAAATTTATGTGGTTTGACTTGGAAACCTTTTTGTTTTTTTTTTACCCCGGGCTAGTGACGGATCTTTTGACTTGGAAACCTACGCCGTAAATTCACTGTCAAAGATATTCAATTACAAAGAGTTTTCTGAAACTAAAGCAAGAAAAATGACAAATCAAAACGTCCCGAATTTAAATTAATTAATTAGAATCAAGTTTTTTCTCGGTAAGCAAAAATAAAAATTGACTTATAAAACACCATCTATCAACTATTTTGGTTAGATTCCAAAAATGAATCCCAAAAAAATGGTCTATTGGGCTTACTATTAAGAAGGTTTTTCAACTAGAATTCAAAAAATTTCATGCAAAGTGGTTATGAAACTGAAATGACATAGAAGACATCCACAACAACAAATAAATGCGCCAATACTTAATAACAAAAATTTCAGTTTCGTAACAAAAATTTATTTTCTTAATAACAAATTTTTCTTTCCTAATACTCGTCGCTTAGTTGGTGCATGAAGGTCCGTAATACCCAATTTACAAGTAAAGTGGTCAAATAGTTTCTGGCCCAAAAGTTTGGCAAAAATATTTACAATCTGATCACGAGCAGGAAGCGCGCCGTAAAAATCAGACCACTGCCAAGTTTCTCTCAAACAACATGACAATCAATTTCGTCCTCCCATGAAAGACAGGATTCTAAGCGATGTAGAGTGCGAATTAATTATCACAATAAATGGTTATTGGACGAGGGTGAGGGACACCAAGATTGTGGAGAAGCTTCTGAAGCCATACTAGCTCACATGTGGTGACAGTCATGACCCTATATTCAGCTTCAACAGAGGAACGAGTTACAATAGCTTGCTTCTTGGTATGCCAAGAAATGGGACTGTCGCCAAGACGAATGAAGTAGTCGGTAATGGAGCGCCAAGACAAGGGACAGCTTGCCCAATGAGAATTAATGTAGGCAGTGACATGTAGAGTGCTGGTAGAAAAGAAAAGGAGGCCCTGTCCAGGGGAGCCCTTAAGCTAACGAAGAACAGGAACAACAGCGTTCAGGTGAGCGATCTGGGGCTGGTCACTGGTGCATGAAATGACTAAGAATGTTCACCGGATAAACAATGTCGGGGCAAGTGACGGTGAGGTAGATTAAACGACTCACAAATCGACGATAAGAGCCTAGATCAGGGGTAAGATCACCTTTCATTGTGTTGTGTAATTTATTTAATAAATCAATGAAATGATAAAAATAATAATAATAATAATAACTCTTGCACAGTTAATTTCTTAAAACAAAGATCCAAGAAATTAGACTCAAAAATAATGTCCTAAAATATTAAATATAAGTAAATAAACAATCTCACCAAACTATAGATCAAGCCGAAACTTTGTCTTTAAAGGTTGATTTGCGTGCTTCGAAGTTAATAATTCGGTGTAATAGGTCATCGGCATGACAATCTCTAAAGATTTCTATAGTTTCACCTCTACCAACACACACTTGTTGTGAAGAGTGCTTAACAACTTTTTTTGATAGTTCCTTGTGGAAGCACGACAAATGTTTTTAAAAGGAATGTGAGATTTAAAGCAATGAAAGAGAGATGAGAAGCAAAAATTGCAAGAGAACATAGAGAGAACCAAAGTCTATCGCCAAGAAAAAACCAAAACAAAAATGGAGAAAATAAGCTTAATTTGTAAGCTACTCCAACGGTAAAAAAACAAAGGAAGTGGGTCATGGGCTTGCAAAGACAAAAACTAAGTCAATGGACGTAGAAATAATAAAATGGTCCATTGGAAGTCGGTACACCAAATTAGACATAATTATAAAAAAGTACACAGAACAAAATGTTTTGAAAAAAAGTACACAGCTGAGATATAAAGACGTAAATGCCCATTTTATAAAATTTTCTTTCCTAAAAACTATAACAATACATTTATTTTAAGCGTTGAAATTTAGGATGATTTAATTCAAAATCTCTAATGCACCTTTATTCATGCGTATTTTTTTTTTTTTAAAAGTGATTTTATTTTCAAATTGAGAAATATTATGTAACCCAAATTTGTATCCCAAATAAAGGGGGATCATTGGATCAATGGGTTATATCAATTTTTTTAAATGAGACTCACTGATCCAATAGTCCTCCTTCATTTGTGATACAAATTTGGATTACATAGTATTTTCCTTTCAAATTATATTTATGCATTAAATATCTCCTAGTTTTATAAGAGAACTTTAATATCCTTTTTATTTTATGATATATCACTTTGTTTGAATTTCAAATTATGTTAATATCCAAACTCCATAATAGTGTAACAATACATTGTAACAAAGACAGTGTAACAATACATTGTAACAAAAACAATGTTAAGTTGTTTTGTGTATGTGGTAACAAATTCAAAACAGAGATTGACTGTTTTGAACGAAATTATATAAAAATATATGTTTGACAAAATATAATAGTAAAATATTTTGTATAAATGTCTTATTATAATGTTATTATTACATTATTATTATTACACTATTATGGAGTTCGGATATTAATATAATTTTAAAACAAAACTACTTTTTAAACAAAATACGCATGAATCAAGATGCATTAAATATAATTTAAAAATAAAATTATTTTTTAAAAAAATATGCATGAATCAAGAGAAGACATAAAAATACGGAATATTAAAGTTCTCCCATAAAACTAGGAGATATTTAATGCACTACTTTCTAAAAAAAATACGCATAGATCAAGGAAGGATATAAAAGTCAGAAAAAATTATGAAAATTTCAAATAATATACTTAGAAACAAATATGTATCAAAATTAAAGAAATTTTTATCCTAAATTTTTTTTTCTGTATAATTTTTTACAATTAACTCCAATTTTGTGTACCCCCTTCCAATTTTTCCACAATAAAAGAGTGTAGGCCCAACCAATTAAATATTTTAAAACACAATAAAATAAGCTCAACAATTCCCCACATATTTCAAAACATTCAAATGAGATAAAAAGAGAAACACGAGAAAACATGCATCGATAAGGTACCACATATGTTTTAACCTTGCCTAGAATAAGTGAGAGC